CCCTTGAAGTTTTTCGACTTACATAGCATTCATGTCATGAAGTATAGCAAAGAAAATGATAAACTATAAATTTTTATTCAGATTTCTTGAATAATATTTCATCAATAACATCTGCATTCACTATGTATCTTTCTGCTGAAACCCCACATGCTAAGCTCTGTATGCTGTGCTACTGACTCTCACTTTGACTCTCTTTACTGTTAAAGAGCACAAAGTCTTATCTATATATTCATCTATTAAACTGGAGGGTTTATCTCCATAAAAATATCTCTACTCAAGACGAGTTTTCAGTAGTTATAGAGAGTAGACTGAACTTCTAGTTAAAAAAAAAAAATAATAATAATAGTAAAAAAGAATTTATTTATTTATTTATTTATTTATTTGAATGTAAAGTAAAAATATAACATGTCCTTAATGAACAACGTAGAGTATACAGCATTTTAATTAAAATTATTAGACAATTCCATAGCCTAAAAAAGTATGATGTAATAGTTAATTCCATTTACTCCTTCAATATTGTACTGAAACTTCTAAAAAGAAAATAGCGCAGAAGAATAAAGAGAAGTTTTATGTTCAGGGAAAGATATGAGTAAGTTCCAATCCAAATCAGTTATTTAAGTCTCTTACTAGTAACATATTTTCTGGATTTGCAGTGTGGAAGAAGATAGTGCATTCTTTCTCAGTGTTGAGAACAGCCTTGATTTCAAAAGTTCCTGTGTTGTCTGATGGGATGGCTTGACTGTTTGTGAAGCAGCAGCCAAATTTATTTGGCTTTCAACTCCATTAGCAAGTTAAATCCCAAATTAAGTGTGATCCAGCAATTTTCCCTCATATGCTAGGCTGTAATATGCAACTGTTCAATAGTTGTCATATGAACTTCTGATTAAAAAGTGGATAGCATCAGCAGTGTGTGGGCATCCTCAAGTCTTGGGTTACAAAGCTTTTGTGGTAATTCCTAATTACAGAAACCTTCTACTGTACACTTCTGCATCAAAGTATCAGTGTTCAGTATTGACCCAAATATCTGGGAAGGAACAGACAGATGAACAGGCTAAAACAAGCAACAACATGTTGTTTTAATAGCCAGTATTGTTCCAGTTTTGATAATCCTCACAAGAAAGCCTGAGTAAGAATATAAATATGAGCAGCTGATTTCAACTGAATTTTACTTCAATTTTAATTATGCTACTGCTGTTTTACTTACAGCTTTATTTAAATGTGACTACACAGATTTTCATTAATGATGAATGGCTGTCATACAATTGACAGTATCATACTACTTCTGATTTCTTAGCAGATTTAATTTTACTGGAAGATTCCCGTATAGATGGTTACTGTGGTTTATAAATTAGTGCTGGAGAGAGTATCTGTTGGACTTTGTGCTGGTATTCTTATGGGACATTGAAAATAGTTGTCAGTTCTCAATCAAAATTACCCTCATGTTAATAAGCATAACTGCGTTCACAATGTAATTGTATTTGCTGTCAGAGTAAGCCTAGCAGCTTAGGTCAGAATCCATGTCAAGAAAATGACAGCACTAATAGAGCAGATAATTTGTGTCAAACTTTAATTAACAACCTTTATAAAGATGAAGGCCACAAATACAATTTATTTTTTATTTTTTATTTTTTTTTCCTGGGCATGATACTTCTACGTATTGAGATGAACACAAAGGTTATATAATGAAAAGGTGAATTGCATGTGTTTGTCTTTCTCCATGGCTAGCTGGCTACTGTCATCAAAGTCATAATTCCTTTTGACCATAAATGAATTTGTCTTCATAACACCTATTAAACATAAAACAGTATTATCTTTCTACATTTAACTGTATTCTTAACAGAACAACTTTAAAAAAATGTTTCTCTTGAAAAAATATCTGCAAATAGGGAATTACATAATTTGTCTTTTCCCTCTCCTACATCATGGGAAGTGTTGTTAGTTCACAGATGGTCCAGCAAAAATTGACCTAGGACTGGAAGTACACTGTTATTCTTCAAATACCTAGGCAAATACAAAGATGTGTTAGCTGTGCAGACCTACTTCTGCAACTTCACTAGCTCTGCAGATATATGTAAGCATTTTTTTAATAAGAGACATGACAGTTTTAGTCCTGTATCTTTTTTTTTTTTCCTGAATCATAGATTGATTCAGAAAACTAGTTATATTTCTAACATCAATGAAGTTTTGTAGAAAATGTGTATTTGGGGATATACTGTTAGATAAATAGCACTCAATTCATAGTTTTGAATGTGGAGTTATGTTTATTTTCTGTTCAACAGAAATGGGAAAGGCAAATTCTGTTACAGTATGAATTAGTACAAACTCTGTTGCATTTGCCTCAGTTGCATTTATGAAGAATTTGTCTCTGAATGTCTGATAAGGAAGAATAAGATTCTCTTTTATTTCTCCATTTTAAAAAAATATATATAATATTATAATTAATACGATATACTGCATGTAAACAAAAGCATGCAAGCCATAAATATTATGGTGATTGACAGTGACACAAAACTAATAGTAGAATATGTTCTTTGTTTGTGTATTTTGCAAAGCTAGTTTAACATAGTTAGGCATGCTTGTTGTTTATCACTTCCTATTGTTTCTGTTTTCCTTGTTGTTTAACTATCTGGAGTTCCCCTGTTCTCAGGATAATAAATAAAATGTTGCAGAAATGAATGCATGACATGGTTGTTTAGCTGGTAATGGTCCTTGACCCTGATAATGCATAGCAAAACTTGCAAATTTTTCAAAACAAATCTTGTCTGGAAGAAAGTTACTTTATTGATGCTGAATTTACGAGTTTGCCAGTTTCTGAATATATTACTGAAGCATTTATCTAGAACTGCATATCTTCCTGTGAGCTATAATACATAGTTTCTGTGTGCTGGTGAACTTCCCTAGACAATGTTTTTCTTTCATTGGTTTGCAGTTCAACAGTGAATTCACAGAATGTCAAAAAGAATAAAATAGAATGACAGTGCATCAGTTTTCACATGATGGCACACAATCATAATTTGTGCCACAGAGTATCAGCATATCTGAATCAGTCATGTCTCTTTACGTATCAGAGAGCTGAGTAAATGCATGTGCAGAAAAGGATTCGAAGCTAGCAGTTTTGGTGAAACCCAGATGCTCTTCATCAGAATACATTTCTGTCTTTCCTGTGGTCCAGGCATAAAGCCTGTGACATAGGAAAGGATTTTCAGTTTCACTGCTCTAACTCTGTTCTTCATAAGTTGTGCATTTGGAGATTTTTTTCATTAGAAATATGCTTTTGTAAGTTCCTCATAGCAGCAGTGGCACACTATCTTGCTGTGTTCAGTCTTGAGTCTTGCTGTTGCACTTGTCTTCAGATACTGTATTTATTACTGATGAATATGAGACAAAATTAGCACAGCAAATAGTTTAAGGAGGCTTAAACTTTCTGTGAAATTGAAGATATAGCAATAACCATTTTGCCTTAACATTCTGTTAAAGAAAAAAAATGCATTCTCTTGAATAAAATATTTTTACTGTTTTGTTGCTGTTGTTGTTGTTTGTTTGTTTGTTTTTAATTATCTTTTTTAATGGTATATGTTGAGCGCTAGGGGTTGGTTAAAATAGACTCAATTAATTTATTAAACTTGAGACATTCTTCATGTTCCCATATTTAACGTAGCAGTGTAACAATACATTCTGTTTTATAAGAAAGTCTACATCATATTTTCTTGGCATTTAAAATGATTTCAGGATTCATATCAGTGTTACTTAAATGCATATGTTCATATGTGTAGTCTTATGAGATTCTGTCATTTAAATAAAGATGTTGACAAGAAATACTGCCTGTGGGAAAGCCACCTCAGAAGAATAGGCAGATAGACATAAGAAATATAATGCAGCAAATCAGAATAAAAAACAAGTACAATATTGGTACATAAATGTCAGTACTAGGGTGGAACGATGAAGATAAGCAGAGAATGAGAACAAAAAGGAAGCAAAAATTGAAGATGAGAGCAAAATTAGTTGCAGTAGTTGTTGCAGAGCCATTACGTATAACAGCTTACAGGTGAAAGACCATAGAGCAAAGATTTGTTTTGTTTTGTTTTGTTTTGTTTTTTTAACGATTTTATTGACCTCAATACTCCATGTAATGTGAATCAGGATCTCCAAGTGTACTCTAAAAAGTGCTCAATTACAAAAGAGAATTAAGTAAATACATGAAATAACTCTTCAACATCTCTGTACTGTGCTTAGACTCTCAGACTTTCACGTTGATTTCTCAGAAATCTTGTCCTGCACTAGTCTGTTTGAAAGGGTTGTTTCTTAAACAACCTGAAAAATTTATTATGCTCTACAAGAAAAAGAAGGTAAGAGAATAATTGATAAAAATATCCTTTTCTATTTTTTAAATGATTTCTCCAGTTCTCTCTCCTCTCTTGCTCCTGCAATAATCACATTTCTTTCACTTCTTTGTGACGGAGTAAAATATTCTGGGAATGAACTGGAGTTTTACATAAAACTGTGCACAAGAATAAATCTCACTTCTGTTACAGTCCCCTCTGCATAAGCTTTTAATATGTAGGTATTTGCCTCTACCTCTGCAGACTTAAAACATTTTCACAGACTTTCTCTGAAATGTCACTGATTTTAATGGCTTAAAGGTGGAAATCCAGCTTTCATGAGATCCTGTGACCATAACATCAAGTAATGAATCATGATATAATTTGAGTTGATAGATGAGCTCATTTTGCAACAGAAGACAAATTGATTTTTTATTTATAACTGTGATAAAATATAATGTATGGTCTTGCTACTCTGATGGCATCAGATTTAGTAGTAAAATCAGTAAGTACTTTCCTGACCTTTTAGTTATTTCTTATTGTTTTTTTTTTTGCAGATGAATTCACTGAAGAAATAAGATATTATATTCTATTCATTCTGAAATCTTTTTTTTTCTTTTTTCTTTTTTCTTTCATGTTTGCTACTTAGGTTAATTTTGTTTGTTTGTTTGTTTGTTTTAGCACCACCAAAGTTTACAAGAACACCTGTTGACCAGACAGGGGTTTCTGGAGGTGTCGCTTCATTCATCTGTCAAGCCACAGGAGACCCAAGACCTAAAATTGTCTGGAACAAGAAGGGAAAGAAAGTCAGCAATCAGAGATTTGAGGTATTAGGTCCATTGTTCTGTTCCTCTGAAAAACATAAGTTCCAACCTCACTTTAATCCCAATATGTGTGCTCTATTTTCATAGATTAAACAAAATAACTATGATCATTGGGGATAACTTAACAGAAGTAGACTTGTGAATGTTCCATTTTTCAAACTGGTCACACTGTTAAAGGTGAAATTATCACTGCTGCTTCATAAACCAACATAATTTATCTGGTGAGCCTTGGCATACTTCTGTTCAGATGGCTAACTTTTCTGCAAAGGATATAGAGGAAAATTATTTGTGTCATCATTATTGTCAACAGAGAGCAAGCCACCTCCTTCTGTGATGGTGTGCACCAAGCAGACCTAACCTGATACAGCCTCTGCTGCCATAATTGCTTACCACCACTGCAGATAAAAATGAAAGGGACATTACAGTTCCTCCTTCTTTAGAGGAAATATAAAATTTGTTTGCTTTTGATTCTTTTCTTAACAATAACCTTGGGAGAGGCTATAGAGTAAGCTGTTTCCTCTCTTTCCACAACATTCAATTAAAGGAAATAGTAAAAATAAGCTTTTCAAAGGATACAGTTTCTTTGGGGAAATAAAATAGCAAATAACATTCCCTCTTTTAGTGTCAGGAACAATTAATATAAAGTATTGATTGACCTTTAACATGAAGAAAAAGTTCAGAAAATGAGAGAAGTCATGTATAATGGACAATAAAATGGGGCCAATAGTATATAATTCCCCTATGCCTCTTCACTATTTTGACTGTTAAAAAGCATCTACTTTGCATCTGGAATCTAGGTGGTTTATAAAACTGTTGTGATGCATATTTTTTGAGTGAATGATAGAAGAAATAGATACAAAAATTGAACGAAAATTGAAGTCTTCTGTGTTCATTCTAAGTACTTTTGAGAAAACCAATATACCTATAGTCATGGCTATAGGTAGTGACTGTTAAAAAATAGTGCTTTGTAACTGAGAGTTATTGTGCTCTTTGCGTATGTTGTAGTTTCCATGGAAATAAATAGGAAGTATTACTTGAGCACTGTGCCTAATAATATTTCCCAAATCTGTACTTTTTTTTCTCTTATTCTCAGCAAAAGTGGAGATCTAGTAGAATATGTGTGTGTAACTTAGAGATGCAGACACAAAAATATGTGCAAACAAGCATATATGTAAATTGTTTTGTGGATGTATATATAGAGTATGGTGAAATATGTATTGCTTTGTAAAAAAAAAGAAATGTGATTAACCTGTATTTATAAGTACTGTTGTGCTGATGGTAATACTGTGATGGGATTTTATTGACAAAGAAATTTAAAATCAGCTTAGATTATATAGATTACTACTATTATTTAATTATAGGAAAGACCTTTCCAGTGTTTGGAATTCTGCATTACTCACCAGTATCTGGTGTAGTTGTGTCTGCAGGACAAGGACATAAAAGCAATAGAATTCAAATGAATTTAAAGGAATTAATTAGAATAAAAATGGTATTTCATTTTTTCTCATATGAAAATGGCTATTTCTTCTATAAATATTGCAGTTTGAAAAACTAAATATGTAAGTTGTTTATTTAGTCCTATTACTTAGTCCTTTAACTGATACATGATTTCTATTGCATTTTTTATAAATTTCCTTCCAATCTGTGGGCTAAACGCATAGCTAAATGGACTAGTCCTATCTTGTCCAGAAATTGTCAAGCCTTTTTCACTTGAGAGCTCAAACAGTGAAGTGCAGCCAATGATTAGGGTGCAAGAATAGCCTGCAGCAATTTCAACTGACGTGATGGTAAAGCTAAGGGACTGGTGGGAGACTGCTGATGGACTTCAGGATAAGAGAGCATTAAGTTACAGGATACATTCTTACAGACCTTGTTAGATCTTTTGGTGGTGGTGGTTTGCTGTTGTTATTGTTGGTGTTGGTACTGTTTGTTTGTTTATTGGTTTGTTTTTCTTGTTGTTTCTTGAAACTGCCTTGGAGTGGCCATTTCATGTTAAGCACTGTATGTTATACCCAGCATTGTCTATATTCCTACCAGCGTTGAATTTGCCATGGTATCCGTATATACAAAAGGAACCTGGTTCTGATGTCAAAAATACTGGCAGGTCATGTTCATGTATAGATTAATGGAGGGATAGATATTTGCAACAACATCTGTGACAGCTATTGTTTCCTTTTATAGGTAATAGAGTTTGATGATGGGTCTGGATCAGTTCTCAGAATACAACCACTGCGCACACCACGAGATGAAGCTATTTATGAGTGCGTGGCTTCCAATAGTGTCGGTGAAATAAGTGTGTCCACAAGACTCACTGTTTTACGTGGTAAGTTAATTTACTTCTTAGAGCAAAAAGTGATTTGAAATGGGAGGCTTCACTCCAAGATAATAAATTACAAAATAGTTTCAAATGAGTGTTGTTTTAGTCCAGATACTGTTAAATATATGTTACATATAACTTTTGATAATGGGGGTATGACTGAGTAGACCAAGAAAGAGAAAAAAGACAGGAGAGCATTGTGCGTAACAAGTTACTTATGTTATTTAATGAAAAAAAGAATGCTTTATGAGTACATCTGATTTGCATTTTACTGCTGTCTGGGTAGCTTAGCTTTGTGTGATCAGCATTTACACAGAAATTGGCCCAATTAAGAGTGACCTTGAAAAATTACATAAGCAGATTTTAGAAGAGGTTAAGCTGCTACAAGACTTTTTCCCCCAGGACAGTGCACATAAAAAATGTTTTTTTTTTTTTTTTCAATTTCAAATGCATATGTTACCTGTATTGTGTTTCAACTTCAGCGAGAAGTTTTTGAAGGTAGTAAAGGAAAATCAAATTTTTTTTTTAGCTATCCCTCAGGGATAAGGATATAAATGTACTGCCAAGTCCATTGTCTACAAAGTACTCATACTAGTAAGTGCTAGTAGTGGAATGACTTGAATGTTTCATTCTGTCTGCTGGAAATAAATGGAAACTGGATTTGGAGACACTTCTTGAAATATGACACTTCAGCTTTTACAGCAGAAAATTATTATATACAGTTGTGATATCACATGGCATTATTTGATTTGTACAGTTAGTTAATAAGAGCTTCTTTATATTATTTATTTTATTATTCATACTATATATATTAAATAGTCCCTGGTCATTGCAGGGAGGATTGGATCACATGGCCTTTAGTGGTCACTTACAACTCAAACTATTCTGTGATTCAGTAGGAACTAATGATGATCAGCCTATTTGACAGAATTTAAAAGAAA